TTGACCAATGAAACAATTCTGTCGGCGCACGGGTGCAGCTTCGTTGTGAACATTTGTGGTTTCCTTTAATTTATTTGTCTTTTTGGATACCTGGAATGCTTGACGCTTTGGTTGATTGACTTCTTGGGGATTTTCTCGGGGTAATGGCAACAACATCGAGGCATCCAATCTAATGAAGAATAGTTTTTGTGGATTTGGGAATAGCAATATGAAGTATTCAAATATTTCCTTATCATATTTGGCACCATGTTCATCGTACAGCTGGATGGCGCTGCGTTGCAGGTGGGTCAAATCGAAGGTTTCCATAACTGAGGGGAGGGAAAAGAATTATTAATATTTTTTGTCAAACTCCATATGAACAGCAAATAACTTACCTTTATTGACCACATCTTCATAGGGTAATCCAGAATCACAAGTAATATTCCTGGTTAAACCTTTGTAGGAGACTTTTAGGGAATTTTTTGCTGTCATGTTGTTGATTGTTTATTTAAATTTATTTCGTTTTATTTATTTCTTTTTTCTGTTCTGTAAAGACAACTTCTGCTCTGCCTTCTGGCTTTGACGTTACTGTTTGATTGCTGTGGCAGAGGCTTCACTTTTATGTGGCTGGGTAAATTTCAAAGAGTACAAGCCGTTAGATGCTCATGCATTAACTCAAATGACTCATTCGAATGTTTATGTGCTATCTCTTTCCTCTTTAAATTCTCTGTTGTGTGTTTGTTTTTGTTCACAACGGAAGTCTGTGGCTCTCTTTCTCCCACTCTCTTTACTAAGGATATTGTTTTGTGTTTGGCGGCCGTTAAATGCAGTTCAACATATGATTCAAATTATCCTCTCTCGCTCTCCTCTTGTGGTAATATCACCCCTCCCTCTCTTGTTTTCTAGTTTTAGGTAATTTAAAATGCTTATCTGTTTTCTCTCTTTGAAACAAAACAAGACAGGATCTGTTTAGTAAAAAACAACCCCTAGTTTTGCGATAAGGAACATCTGCATTGAAAACTGAAATTAAAAACAAAAATAAGACACTGTTGATTCCCATCTAAACAATAGCGAATGCATTATCTGTGAAGGCATTACCGGCCAGACTAGGTAGAGCGGTAACAGCACGTTCTATAATGTCGGATATTTGCACCCTTCTCTTGTTTTATTTATTTCATTATTATTGTTGTTGTTTTGCATTCACAGGCTATCTTTAAGTTGTTTTGACAATAAATCATGCGAATTCATGCACAGGCATGTGTTTCTATTCCCTAAATTCAATTGAGTTGCTCTTTCATGTAAAACCGTTTTTTGTAGTCCAAGTTGTTGTTATTGTCGTGTGACACGTACAACAGTGGTACGTACCAATTTAGTTTTTAAATCATGCCAGGACAAATAATCACTTTCTCCGTTTGAGTTATTATTTCTATTAAGTAGTCAGCTGTAATAAATCATTACCTAGTCGAATGGATTTACTTTTGGCATCCTCTGAGAACAATTACCGCAACGCAGAAGGCGGTAAATTATTACAATTAAAATTGCTTTGACAATTTTAAATGGATCAATATTTTCTTAAGAAAATTACCAAAGGACTTTTTTAAAAACAACTGCTTAAAAATTTGTGAGGTCTGATGACCAGCTGGAAAAATGTGAAATTGCACAACAATTTTACAATTATTTTTCTTGTAAAATGCATTCTATCAATAGCAGACAAGGATACAGATTCAATAATAATGATAAAAAGGCGCAAAAGTCCCGGAGAATTTGCAAATCTGACAGATTATAATCTAATTTTATCAACTTTTATGAGAGAATGGCACACAAAAAGATGTAAAATTATCGTTAGAAATTTTCGCTGGTGTTCCTGTACCTAAATTCCCGTACCCACTTATAAGTGATTGATATAATTTACGATGATTTTGGACTAAGGAGGAAATGGCGCCCAATAGATAAATGACATTTATAATAATATGGCGCGGAAAGACTTTCACAAATTTTTCAATTACGGATTTTAATCCAACAAAACTGTTCCAAAATCAGATAAGCTAAATGATTTCTTAAAAATTCATAAAAACTTAACGTCTAGTACAAATAGTACATACAGTTATACTGTGTTTTCTTACTACATAAGAACTGCAATGTTATTTAGCCTACCGGAAAAATATTACCAAATTATAAGCTATGGATTAATTTAACAAGCAGCTCCCGTACCCGAAACACGGGGAATGTCAACTTATGATTGGCTGTTATGTTGATTTTGAATTCTAAAATAACGGCTGTAATTTGGCGTTTTGGAATCTGATATAAATTTCGAGATTTTGGAGGTTAAGAAACATGTTTGCAGAAAAATTTCGACATAGGTCCATGATTTGACATAGCCACATATAAAGGTAGCGCTTTATTTTCGGTATTTTGAAGGCTTTAACTGCATTCTCACACTGAAGTGGCTGTAAGTTGGCATTCCGGAATGTTGAAGGGTAATAAAAATCTCTGCAGAAATTTTTGGGTATATAAGCACGTTTTGGTATATCCCCAATATAAAGGTCTCGATCCATTTTTGGTATTTTTTTGATCTGGCCGCAATTTTCCACCGAATTTGCTGCAATTCGACATCCCCTGATCTTAGGGGGTGATAAACATCTATGCAGAAAAATGTCTACATACATAGGTCCATGTTTTGACATAGGCCCATATAAAGGTCCAGCTTTATTTTTCGATATTTTGAAGGCATTACCTGTATATTCCCGCCGAAGTGGCTGTAATTTGGCATTCCGGAATTTTTGAGGGTGTAAAAAATTGTCAGAAAAGAATTACGATTTTTGTAATGTTTTTCGATATTTTGGGGGTTTTAGCGACAGTTTGTGTAAAAAAATATAGTTGCAAAACATTGTCGATATACATATGTCCATTTTTGGTATTTTTGGTATTTTGGTCCGACTCATTTTTTCGTATATTAAAATTCCTAAGCCAGTTTTCCAAATAGATTGTCTCTATAAAGGTTCCGACCAATTTAAGTCCGGTCTTCCTCGTTCCTGTGGTGTTCAGGTCTGAAAGGCCTATACAAAAACATGCACCAATATGGATTATATGCGATAATATACATTCTATGAGCAACAAATTGGCGCCCAATGTGGGGTACACATTTGTAAACCCAAAATTGGATATTTATATATATATTTATAAAAATTGTTTATTTATCATATAAAATTTTTTGTATACATTTTAGAGAATTGTACTACTGAGACAAAACAATATCATCTTAATATTTTACATTAAATTTGATTTTTTCTAGATTTTTTAGCCAGCTCAACATGTTAAAAATTTAATAAACATTAGTGCTATTTAATTTTATTGAATGTCTACATATTGGGCACTTGGTGTTTAAAATGAAACCTTTATAACACACTTCATATTCCAATTAAGAAAATATTCATATTTCTGCCTTTGAATCACTGTACTTCAAACATTAAATATTATTTATTAATTTCCCCCCTCTCTCCATTTGGTTTCATTACAGCAAGAAGAATTTGCCGGAGCTCCAGTTCAGTGCCTAATACCGGGCACCAATCAATGGGCCTTAGTCGGTGTGTCATCGTGGAGAATAGCATGTGCTGCATCGGGCATTGAGAGACCGCGAATGTATGACAAAATAGCATCGAATGCTGCTTGGATAAGGGAAACAGTACATGCGTCATAGGTAAAGTGAGGGGGGTGTGTGTGCATGTATGTATGGTGTGCTTGGATGAGTGTGTGTAGCATGTGTGTAAAGAGGGTATGATTGAATGACTGTGTAAGAATAGTAAGCATGATCGTGCATGTTATCTAGGCTAAAAACAAAACAAAAAAGAATATGCCGCTAAACCACAGCAGCATTGTTGGTAGCACTTTGTAAATAGTAGCACTTTTTTCTCTCTCTCTGTCAGTCTCACAAGCTCTTTATTTGTTATTGGTAAACAGCAATTTCAGTTAATGGAACTAACTTGCATTTCATATAGCTACTTTCAACTTTTTGGTAACGTTTTAAACACTTTAAATTTAAAATTTAGATAAGTGTGTATGTATTAGCTTGAGTTTATTTTCGGTCGTATAAAAATGGGATTTAGAGGGTTAATCCAAAAAAATATATATTTTAAAGAAATTATGTTAAAAAAAATATTTTATTTTGTTCGTATTAAGAAGATGTTTATTGAATTACATACAGTCGTCCGGAGCTATGACACCGCCCGCATTAATTCAGATAAGTTTGGTTTTTAGTAGTCGGGATTTCTGAAGAAAATTCACATATCCCATTATGTTCATAGCCTAGAAGTTTTCTTCTACACTAGAATTTTATAATATTTTTATTCGACTTTAATCTATAAAAAATTAATTAATATTAATTATCATTTCAAAGTAGGCGTGAGTAATGATCATTAGTTGATTAGTGCTCAAAAAAATTAATTTATATATTTTTAAAATTAAAAAGGACAAATTTATAAATTATTATAAAAATTAAAAAAATAATGTAATTATATATTCTTAAAAAATATATTTTCTAAATTATTAAAACTAAATTTAAGAGTGGTATGCATGTGTTCTATGATTGAGACTGTGTGAGTGTATAAATCTGCATGTATCTATAATTTTCGGCTTCTATTTAAATTATCTTAATCTAAATTATATTTCAAAAAAATCCTTTTCCCCTAAAAAGTTGTTTTAATAATAAGTAAAATCTCCCTCTTCTTTAAAATTTTAGCGTAAGAAAAAAAAACAGCGAATAATTAATTCTATTTGCATATATAATATTTATTAATTTTTTTTATAAAATTACATTTTATTTGTAAAATGTATATTTTTTTTTATTAGTATGTAAGTTAACATTTTGATTTTTGTGTACACAATTGTTTTTATCCTTGTTTCCTTTGTAAAATGTTTATTTTTTTAAATTTAATAATAAAATGTGTTACGTCATATTAATAATAAAATTTAAATAAAACATAAATAATAAATATTTTATTTCATTCTTTGGTTCTTCTTTTTAATTAGGCATCGACATGATAGGCCTGCCATTCGCCATTATCCAATTGTTTATATTGCACACGATCGGCAATTGTGTCCGGTTCAGACATATAGAAATCCCAATATTTGGGTATTATTTTAAATGCCGTACTGAAAAAAAGAAGAAAATAATAATAATTTACACTGGAATTTTGTCCCAATCGGACAAACATTGGCAGTATGGTGTTCCATTTACATAAAGTCGGATAAACTATATGTGGGAGCTATATCTAAATCTAAACCGATAGCAACAAACCAGTACGCTCTGCAAAATTTTGTCTCAATCTAACTATATATGGGAGCTATATCAAAATCTGAACTGATTTTCTCCAATTTCAATAGGGTTCGTCCTTGGGGCAAATAAGAGACTTGTATCAAATTTCATCCTAATCGGATTATAAATGCGACCTGTTCTTTGTGTAGTGAAGGTTAGCTAAATCCAGAGCTTTTCAAAATAGTCCGATATTTTCATTCTTCTGTGTGTTATATTGAACCTTATTCAAATACGCACATATGTTTATATCTCCATGCCCCTATCATACACAGGCAACTTTTCCGGATCATATTTTCCCGAAGTGAAAATTTACATTTACCATAGTATAACATTTTTTTCATTTATCACATAAAATTCATCGGTTCATTTCATCCACTAAATATGGCCCGATCATCATCATCAAAACAGCCATACTTTCATCATATCCCCTCTCCTGTGTAAAATATCGTATTGTACCGGTCCCAATTGTGGCCTTCAATACCTATAGATGTCGACTTTGCGTTGAACCAAAATTACATATAAAATTTCGAAAGAGATCTTAAAATATCACTTTTTTGTTTGGACATACAAGATTTTTACCTCGAAGTATTTTACCCTCTGCCATTCCCAAATGTCAAATTACAATCTCTTCGAGTTGAAAATATTTTATATAGAACCGATAGCGAAGACAAAACTTAGGCTTAGGAAGGATTTTGTTTATGCTCTGTTACCCGATGTGCCAAATTATAACCACTTCTGACCTTCAAAATGTGTAAATGAGGCGGTACAGTTATTTACTGGAAAATATAGACCTATATGAACTTTTTCTTCATTATCGTTTTTATACTTAATTTCTATCCAAATGAACTCCTTGGAATTCTCACCGGTATGCGACGATTTCCCAACCAGAATAGGGAGTATTACATTAATTGCAAATAGTGGCGCAATTCACATGGCATAAAGCACGTTTACCACATTTCATATAATTTATATGAATATCCCTGGAGGTTATAGACTCTGAAATCTATATTTTAGGGTGATACAAATCATATGTGTCACAGAGTATTATCGACAACTTTCTATTTAAGTGTTGTCCAGTGAATACCCTAGCTTATGCACATAACTAATCGATTCTAGACGCCATCGGATGTACCCATAGGTTTTTATATCTGAAGCCTGTCACTTGGCCGCACTTCTGTATGCGTATCTGACCACCAAAATGCTGGACATTCCCTGGAGCTTCTTGTACCGGGAAAAACTTTCCTCGAAGCGCTGAATGGCGTTACTGATTGCTCACTATTCAGCTGGTTCCCCACTGCGTACGTCTATGTCCCCTAATATCCACATTTGTTAACATCAAGATATCTTAACATCGAGGAAATGTTATTTAGCCTGTATATATATATAACCTTTATAGGGATTATTTTTCAAATCATATAATAACATATTTACAAATTCTTTGACTTACTATGTTTTAGTTTGTTCCGGTTCCCTTTTCTCCTTTTCCATAATCGCCAATTCTTTCTGCAATTTTAAATCCAACTCCTCCACATTCCCAGGTTTACCACATTCACAAATATGGCTACGCAATTTTGCAAGCAGTGGTTCTTGTTGCCATAACACCCGCAAATAATCATCTTCCAATTCCACAGCTTCAGCACCAAACAAACGTATTTGCCATGCTTCCGGTTTCACTTCCTTCTCCTCTACCTTCTGGGCATTCGGATAAAAGTTAAATGTCATGGATATTTTAGGATTTTCTTTAAGATTTTGATATTTGCGAGAATTACGTTCCGTAACAAAACACAACCATGAATTATCGATTAAACCGCGATACATAACCGTGCGATTTAGTACACCAAATTCGCTAGGAGGAGAGAGGGTTTATTTGTTAATAATTATTGGTGTTGAGTGTTTCCTATGTACTTATCAATGGTGGCCAAATTCATGGGAAACATAGTTGGTGCCTTAACCCTTTCAAGTGTGTTCTTAAACATTTGTATGGGATTTGAGGGATAGTCTTTAATGCGAGCCAATCGTGGTAAATTCTATGTGGTGTTAATAATTCAATTAAGATTTCTGTTATATATATGAAAGTGAAATAATAGCAATTTTATAGAAATCTGGAATTACTCACCGTTATTTTGTCCATGTTGTTTAAAAAAGTGCTGTAAATAAATATATAAAAATGACTATTATTATTAAAACAAGTAAAAAATTCGTTAAATTCGGCCGAGTCAAACTTCTTATAACCTCCACCATGAGGATATGGATCGGCCGAAACAAACTTCTAATAATCTCCACCATGTGGATATGGATACCAGAAATTAAACGAAATACCAAACAACATACACTCAGCTTGTCCTAGGACATTGAAATTACCAAAACGGAAATCGACATTGATAATTTTTGGTAGTGAGATTGACACCCAATGAAAATCCAAAATATAAAATTACTGCTTATTTGACTGAAAAACGTACCTAAACTCTCCAAAATTCAGAAATTTGAGGTGTAACGGCATTTGAGGGCTACTTGAAAATTTTGACCAATATAAATTTTAATTAATTGTATACCAAATTAGTACACAAAACTAAATACCCAATTCGGTTAAAAATCGTGTCCAATATTTTTCCGAAATTTGACACCCAAATGCCTAAATACAGCCAATTCGTTTACAAAACGTGCCTAACGTCCCAAAAATTCGGAATATTGGGGTGTACCTTATATGGAAGCTATACCAAAACGTGCACCATTTGCAATACGAAACATACTAGAAGCATCCACAATATATAGAAAATATCGGATCTGTATCTTTAATATTGTTATTTAAACAGACAGGTACACAGACGGACACATTGTGGTGGGGGTATAATTAATATTTTATTTACAATACAATATTAATATTATCGGACAAAGCCGACCATATGATACCCTGGAGAACAATCACCAAATTTTCTGTGGAGTTAAATCCGAAGCCTTTCAAAATTATACGATATTTACTGTTAATGATTATCATGAACCATATTAAAATACGCGCACACTTTTACATCTCCCATATCTGTCCACTTACTTCAATTTAATGGATATTCGATTTATGATCAATTATTCCCACACACGCGCCATGGAAGAACATTTTTTCTTCAGCACAGAGAAGTCTCGGTTCATTTGATCCACTAAATATAGGTCAATCATCCTAGAAGTTGTACTTTCGTCATATCCCCTTCCCTGTGTACAATGTCGTATAGTAGGCGTCCCAATTGTAGCCTCTAGAGCGACAAGAAAATTATACAATAATAAAATGGTCCATTTCAATAGCTATAGGCCTCGCCTTTGGGCTGAACCGAGCTTATATGTAAAATTTCGAAGCAGGTTGGTCTACAGCTGTGGTCAATAATTTGATTTCAAGTTTTAATGGACGGACACACATAGCAAGATCATTTCAGCTATCAGTTTATCACCGCCTTAACACTTTCAGACCTAGTTTAAACAATTGTGAGATCTGACAATATTTAAGAGAAGGTAGAATAAATATGTAATTGGATCAGTTAATTAACAGATTTAGTATTGCTTTGTTATCTTTTTAGGACATAGAACATACAGATGAACTCAGAAAGAACTTATCGGGTGGGATCTGTTTCAATATTTAATACAAATACATCAGAAAAAAATTAATGTCCTCAATCTGAAATTGTAAAAGACCCTGTTTGTAACTATATAATATTTTTTCTTGCGATATATACCTTCTGGGGATATATACCTTAAAAATTCCATTGAGATTATTTATTGTCCCCTAATTTGTAATTATCCTATCGAACAAGTCTATAAATCCTATTTTAGATATGTCTAGAATCAAGTAATTCCTCCTGAAAAAACGCTTTATTAACACCTCTGATTAGTTGAAACTAAATTAGTCGGCGTTACAATATTACACGAAACAAACGACGTCAAGTTCAAACATTTACCGGCTCCGGTCAACCACTCTCTAATGCATTGACAGCTGATAGTTTTTTTAGTTGTTTTTATAAACACAAACAAAACAAATCGTGTGTTCGAACAACCAGCCAGTCAATAACTAAAAACAAATGAAGAAGAAATAGTTTCTAAATTTAATAACCTCCCCCCCCACTCAACAAAAAGGAAGGAACAGCAAAAAGGCTGCAATTTTTCGCAATAAATAAAATGTGTAAGACAACTCACTCTTGGAACCGACTGGAAACTTCACATTAAACAGAAGTGAAAAAAATTACAACAAAACACAATGAGTATTTTGGATATGCGATCCGGCAAACCCTCACTGGGTGAGGAAATTAGCAACTTCTTTTTGCCACTGAAATACCTCATCACGACAGACCGTTTTGATGCCTTTGTCGAGAATATCAATTTCAATTATTTGGCCAATGCAGTTTTCTGGATATTTTTGCTGTTTAGTTTCGGTTTTGTCGGGTTTCACAATTTATTTCAGGTAAGTTCGATTCTGTAAATCCTTGGCAATTATAAATAGATTTTACAGGGCATGTCAGTGCACAAAAAAACAAAAATACCTTTTTGATAGAAAATACCGGACTTATTGCACTTGATAACAGATGTAGAGCGATTCCATGTGTATTTTACGTTGAACGTTCGGCAAATGGTACACTGACAATGTTTTCCTTCGGGATTATATGGAAAAAACAAAACGTATCTATAGAATTGTTGGTGTTGTTGTTCTTTTATTGTTGGTTAAAAAGAAAACAAAGTCATATCTAATTGAATGGAACGCCGTTATGATTTAAATGCAATGGGTAGTTTTCATTGACGGAAATCAATATTAATTAGAGTCTTCAGGGGGAATGTATATTAGTTCTAAACGCAAGTTTAAGAATTTTAATTAATTTTATAAATTTCATTAGCTGTGAGATTGCAACGCCGTTGAAGTGTTGGCCCTCAACTTGGGGTCTGCACTTCTCCGGCAGCCGAGATTATTGTGAATGCTAATTGGTTTATGTCTACGATAGGTAGAATCTTTAGATGTTAAAAATGAATTGCCAACTAAGTCAATTTTTGAATTTATATTTGTACACTAAATTTAGTTTTCAAAATGTTGATAAGAGCCAAAAATAAATTTGACATGGAAAATAGGACAAAAATGTATGTAAAATATGCAAATTACACACTTAACGAAATTCCAACCTAAGGACCAATTATGAAAATATAAGCCTTTGATTCCCACATCGTTACCTTTTTTAATTCTACTCATATTTATCGGACCGGAATTTAAAATGTATAGTAAAAACCGGAAAGTTCCTCATTTCACTTATTTTTTTAAATAACCTAGCAAAGGCCTTCGATCCGTTAACCATGAAAATATTCGCAACAGCCAAATTGGTTTTCACGACTGGAAACTGTCTTATAATGCCAATGAACGTAATTGTCAATGGTAATTATATTCGAAAAGAATTCGAAAAGAATTCGAGACAGAGCCCTCCACACGTTGATCACCCTTATGGGTGACATTTTGTTTTGGGATACTCTTAACTGCCTTTTCCGGTGCATTCTTACTCGGGTTCGGCTTCGAGCTGGGCTTCGCGATTCTACCACTTTTGTGCGAGTAGTAAGATTCGGGAGGGAGATCTTGTCCATCTCGAGTTCACGATGGAGAGCGTGCGAATTGATTCTCTAGAATTTTCATTACGTATCTAATCTTACCTTTGATGAGGTGTACCTCCCTCTCCGAGATCAAATTCGTCCCACGAATTTGAAGACTATTTTTCATCAGACCTGACATGCTCATTTGCCAAAGGAATAGCCGGTTCGTCAACGTTTTTGTTTAGAATTAGTGCACTTGTAACAGGTACAGCTGCAGGTGCCAAGGCATCCACACCTAGAACAGCCGGATCACAATCGCTTGATCTCGACGACACGTGGCTTGTGATCTCACCAACGATTGCCACCGGTACTGGGTTATTAACTCCCTGCACCGTAACTTTATTCTTTTTACTTCTTTTACCCATCGAAGTTGATTTATTTAAGGACAATACCCCGATCCATTTTGGTCCACGGGGGGTCCGAAGATATGGATCTTTCCACGAAGTGCAGAGAAAAGTTGATGAACTGCATTTTTGTCTCCGCAAGTAAAAAGTAAATTTTTGTACACAAAACTGTTTATATTTTATTGAATCAATTTTATTTCAAAAGAATCTCCTTTGGGCATGTAGTATTAGGGTTGTATTAAGCCGGTTTAAGATTCATCTATGCCCTTGCTTCAAATAAGCAGATTAAATATTTATATTTCTATAATCCATTTGTAATCCATTTCCTTTTTCCAGGTCTTTTTAAAAACCTCGAATATAAAATACTATAAACGTAAACAATTTTCACGCTCAATATGGAATATAGCATTCTACGCAGCATGCACCCTGTTCCTATATATGTACAATGAATGGGTGATATTGCCACAGCTGTTAAAGAATCAAGGACGTTACTCTCTCTTCTATTCATCGGAAGATCATATCTTTTATAAATCTCAACAATGTGAAAAGTTTCAATTCTATTCACTGTTCATTATTACATTTTATTTACATGGTGCTATGTTGGATTTTAAGGAATCCGATTATTTGGAGTCGGCATCAAAGGCTCTCTATTTAATGGCATTGGTGGCCATCGATACATATAGGTAAGTAGTATTTATTTAAGTTTTTATTGTTTGTGCAATTTAATAATGTTTTTTATTTTAGATATGAAAACTATTTTGTTGGTGTTAATTTGATTCTGGGAATCTATAATATAATCAGCGAAATACTTAGTCTCTTGGCCTTACAAAATTCCAAGCGAAATATTTTGGTATATCAAATATTTTTGGGATTGCGCATTGCATCATGGTAAGTTAATATGACTTATAATAAGTTTTAAAATATTTAATGATTTATTCTCTTCTTCTAGGTCCCATGTCTTCATTAGTCTGCTACCCTTTAAATATTTAGTACCCACATTATTTGCCAAGAACTTTAAAATAAGTCTAAATGTTGTCATCTGGTTATGGTATGGCTTGAGTATTTGGAATTCCCCAGTTTTACAATATTTCTATCATCAAATTTACCACAATACACCAGCCGATTGTTCGGGTGAGGGATCAGCTGCGAAGTGTATTTTACTAAAAGATTCAAGTGAGCATCGCCATTTCAAGACCTTGAAAAAGGCCTATTTGGAAGTGAAATTGGCTCATGAAAAATTAAATAGCAGTAATATGGCAGCTACGGGAACTGAAAGTTCATCAACAAAAGCTTATCAGGCTATTAAATGTGAGTGGGTAAAATAGTATATGTATTGATTTTTAAATTAATTTCTTCATTATTTTTTTAGGTATTATGATTTTAAAACGTAAATTGAAGCGTATTCGCGAAGGACGTGGCAATGAGGTGGAAGATGACAATGATGATATGATAGTTACAGATTGTTAAGCCTACACTTTACAAGTTCTCAAAACACAACTATGTCTCCCTATACTGATACAGTGAAACACCACCAGCATCATTAGATACAGGACATTCTATGACTTTCTTCCCTGATGTTCCCATTTACATTTGGAAGTGTTCTGTGGTGTGAAGTTTCACTGTATTGCTACCACTATTTTATTACTATTTAATGCAAAGTATTGTATTAGTATATCTTATGAAAAATTTGCTTGTTGGTATATTAAACTCGTTATTCAAATTTTAACTCAATTATAAAGACACACACAATTTCCATGGCTCGATTATCTCTATATATACACACAAACACAAGTGATATGATAAGAAATAAAAAAACGTATTACAAGTTTATTGCGTCCTCCTTGAGATAAAACAAAATATATAGTTTTTCTTCAGTGAAAGAATCAAATGACTAACATAAAGCCACTAACTTAAGAAATCGATGTCTGTATATAGGTCCAGGTAATGACGATGATGGCATAAAATCAAACGCATAATGGCTTTTCTCAATTCTTTATGAACGAAGCCTATACAGGATGGTAACGTTTTGAATTTAGAAAGAAAAAAACCATAATTTTTTTTATTAAATCGCCTGAAGATTATGTGGAGGTCATATTTAGTAAAACTATAAAAATTGGAACAAATACATATGGTATGCCCCCTTAATTTTGACATGTTTGCTTGAGACAAAACATTTATTCAATAATTATGATGGAATTTTGAAAATTTTGGCGGATTTATTGTTTAAATATCCAGCTTAACATCATTTTTCATCGTTATTTATTGGTACACATAAAAACTACATTACTTCCCCTATTCAATAGTGAAAGTTTCATTCAAATACGTCCACTCATTGCCGAGTTATGGCCATTTGAATCTGACCATGTGTCAAAATGTAGCTGCTACACGATTCTGTTTGCCTAGTACCGCAAATTGAAAAACACAAGAAATTGCAATTCCACAAAAACAGAAAAGTGCCGTATGTGTTGCCAACTGGTTTTCTGTATTGTGTAGCGCCTAAAAGTATGCTCACAATCTCGCTAACTAACATGGAGATAAACGTTGCCGATGTGTTGCCAACTTGTTTTCTGCATTTTGTAACGCCTAAAAGTATGCTCATGTTCTTGCAAACTAACATGGAAACACCGAGTAAATAGGTTGGCAACACTCTGACATTTTTCTGTTTTGTATAATTGCAATTCCATCAGTTTTCGAATTTGCGGCACTAGGCAAACAGAATCGTGTAGCAGCTACATTTTGACACATGCTTAATTTCAAATGGCCATAACTCGGCAATGAATAGACGTATTTGAATGAAACTTTCACTATTGAATAGGGGAAGTAATGTAGTTTTTATGTGTATCAATAAATTATGGGAAGAAAATATTTGAAGTGGTATTTTTTTTAAATTTTTATTAAAATGACCACCACAAGTGGATTTCTTAAAGAAAAATTGTATGTGCTGATAGGTTGGATATTTTTTTAGAAATATGTTTTCCATTTTCAATGAAATTTTCACTACTGGGGGAAGTAGATTGGGAGAGTGATGTAGTTTTTATGCGTATTAATTAAGCCACACAACTCCAGAGATTTGTTCTTCCAAATCATACATTTCTTTTTAAGACTTAAGTACTTTATTAATAAATATAATTTTTATACCCTACACAACTATGTTGTCAGGGTATATGAGTTGTCTGGGTATATTAGTCCATTATAATTTGTAAACACGATACAGGCCGCAGTTATGGACCAATCTTCACGAAATTTTGCATGTAGGATGGGTTCTGCCCAATGAAGACCCTTATTGTTTTTGGTAAAGATCAGTTAATAATTAGGGGATGAAATGGAGAAGGGGATTGGGCCAAAGAATAAGCATGCCTGTTTTGATAAAGATCGATCAATATTTAGCGGGTCAAATGGACCCTAACTTTTGTGTGAAAAATGACAAAATTTGTATTCTATAGCGTATATATTTACTCCTGAATGACATAGAGTCGAGAAGTTCATAGTATATCCAAGAGGAGTGGTTGACCTTTAAATTGATACCAATTATATTGCCGTATGTACTCGGATGCGGGAGTTGCATTTAAATATTTACAGGTGCTTATGTACTCAGATATTATTTAGTAACACATTACCACACTCGAGGCGGAAATACAGCGCGGATCGCTTTGAAAATTTTCATGAGGATCCAGGAATGGTCAAGGATAACGCCTATAATTTTCGGTGATGATCAGATAATAATATTGGGATGAGGGGGACCGAAAACTTAATTTTTTGTGTTTTTTTTAGTCCATATATAGTCCACAATTGAAAGTCGAACATCATAACACAACCCACCATGAAGGGAATCTGGACAAGTAATTATAAGGGATTTACTGAATATTAGTAATATTTGTTGACCTCTAGTCGGTCAAGAGGGTGTAAATATAGCGAAATATTTTCCATGCTCAGAAAGTTAGATTTTCGTGGAAGTTGTGTAGGGTATCATATGGTCGGCCCCATCCGACTATACTGCTCCGCTCACTGGTTTAGAATTATTTTTAGAATGAAGCTAGGATAGTATAGAACAATATGCAATAAACAAATAAATTATTTAATAGAAATTCACTGAGATAACTGTAGGGTTCCAGCAGTGAACGGTGGGGTTTTTAAACGAAATTTTTATGTAACGATGGGTTGAAGATTTTGAAGGATTATTTATCCATGTTTCAATAGAGCAAAGATTATGTAAAGAATATATTTTCAACTGCTAATATATTTTTAAAGAATATTTTTTTCAAGTAGCAATCGAGCATGGAAAAATATGTCTTGGGGTACCGATCGTGGAGAAATTTTTAAAGAATACTATTTTGAAGTTCCTATAGCAAAGCGATTATATTTTTTCAATTACTAATCGCGAGGGGAAATATTGGTCCTAGACCCAATTTTTAATATGTCCATCTGTCCATTAAACAGTACAGGCCACAGTTATGGACCAATCATCACGAAATGTACATTCGGTTCGGTTTTTGTTAATGATTTTTTATTTTACTCACCGTCCGAAGAACACAATATGGGAACCCAAACTACTTACCTTAAAAAAATGTGCCTATTAGAAAAAAAAACAAACCCCTCTTCTTTTTTTGTTAGTAATTTTTCATTTTTGTTAAATTTATTAAATTCCTTTAAAGAAATAATAAATGTTTTTTTTGTTGTTTCTCTGTTAAATGTCATCATTTTGTTTTGTTGTTATTTCTTATCATTTGGTTGTTGTTCTTGTTTGTTTTGTTTTGAGTAAAAAATAAGTTTTGTTATGTGTTTTTTGTTTTATTATTTTTTTCTTTCTTTCTTGTTATGTTTCAATTAATTTTCTTTGTTGTTGTTGTTTTTTTATTTACAATTTAAATATAATATTTTTGGTTTTTTTATGTTTCTTCTTCTTCTTTTCTAATATTTCATTAACTTCATATTATTATTATTAATTTAACTTAACATGTTTTGTTTACTCTCATCATAATTCGATCGTTTGTTTTTCGTCGTTTAATATTTTTTTAATAATAATGTTTTTTGTTGTTATTATTATTTTCTATTAATTTCAAACATTCGTAAATTGTTGCGTTCTCCCTTGGTTTGGTTTTTTGGTTTCATTTCTTAGGGGTTGGTTTTATTTCCACTGGTTTCGAATTAAATTAAATTTGTTAATGTTACTAAAATACTAAATGTAAGTTAACTGTTTGTAATGGTTTCTTCTTCCTCCACATTTTTTCTCTTTTTTGACATTAGTTCATGTTTAAATTAATTAAGACATAGGCTAAAAAGTCCCATATCTCAATTTTTTGCAATTTTGACATTTTCAATTAATGTTAAATTAAATTTGAATTCAATTAAACCATAGCCAAATATGTATTTGAGGTCCAGAACTTTTAAATCTATGTCTTAATTTTTTTTTTGAATATTGTTTAGTATTATAAATTTATTATTTTTTTAATAATATCGTTGTTATTTTTATGTTTAGTCCCCAACCATGCTTTATTTTTGTTTTCTTTTTTTTAATTTTCTTTAATGTTTTATAGTTTTAATTTTTTGTGTCTTAACTATTTTTTTGTTTGTTTATAAATCATTTAGTTTTATTATTTTAATAATAATTTTTTTTACTTCATTACTTATTATTAAATATTAAACAGTGTTATTAATTTTCATTTACTTATTATTAAATATTAAATATTTTTTTTTGTTTTAATTTTTGGTATCTAATTATTTTTAATTATTATTAATGTTGTTTCATTTGTGTTTGTTACTTAAATTACGAGTATGTATATGATGTTATTTTTTTTTCTTCTTCTTTATTATTTTATTTCTTATTAATGCAATAGTTTGCTGTCCAAACACTTAGTTTCTAGAGTAACGTTAAAATATTAATTTATTTTTTTAATTCATTTATTTATCCTAAATTTGTATTAAATATTTGTTTTTTTTTTCAATTTTAATTTTTTTGTATTTTCTTTTAATTATTTTTTGTTTTGTTTTTACTTTTAGTTAATGTTAACAATCGTTTAGTCACAATTTGCTTTCACTTCTTCATTTTTTTTATTATTTTTTAATGTTCGTTTTAATGGTTAATGGCAAATTCGCTTAAAAAATTCATAGAACAAAATGTTAATCGTATTTCTTTAACAAGCACCGAATATGGGTGGTTCCATAGTTTTTAATAAATCGTCTGAAGGTTATGAGAAGGTACTATCAAGTAAAGTTCTATAAAAATTGGAACGAATATATATTATGCCCTTAATTTGAACAAGTTGGTTTGAGACAAAACAATTTATTTCATAATTCTGATTGAACTCTGAAATTTTTGACGGATATATTGTTTAAAACATTTATTTACAATTCTGAATTAAAATTGAAAAAATCCAGCTTAACATAATTTTTAATCGTTATTTATTGATACGGTCTGTACTAAAAAGCGGTCGGTACTCAAAAACACATTTTTTCATGCTCTTTTGCTACTTGAT